GCTGCGGGCGAAGCTGGCGGACGCCGAGTGCCGCATCTCGCTGTCGACAATAGTGGCCGGTCTCGCGATGTATTTCTCGTATTTCTTACTTTTCGCCAACTTTTTCATCAAAACGTATTTCAAGAAAAGAAAAACGAATTAAAGTTTTGTTGTTTTTATTGTCAATAAATATTTCATTGCGGAATGATCTCGATGGAGGCGTGGCTTAGTTCCGACTGCAGGAGCTCGTTCAGGAACGTCAGGTCCATGTAGCGCACGTCGCGCGCCTCCTCGCCCTCGCCCTCCACGTCCGCGTCGTCCGCGTTGTCGTCTCTGTGGAAGGGAACGAAGCACTCGCCGCTGTCCTCCACCAACACCTCCACCTTCCACTCCACGCGCAGCGACTTCTGGTCGCACTTCTTCAGCATTTCGCAACACAAGCGGTTGCTGTGGGCGTCGCCCGTCGACACCGACAACCACGTGAGCGGCAGCGCGCCAATCACGGCGCACATCCGGTCCAGCACTTGCACGCCTACAGAACACATTGTATTAGTATTGAGTCGATTATGCATTTATGGCTCACCCGACGCCTCGACGCGCAGATTGTCGATTGTCAGCGATTCGAGATTCGACAGCGATTCCAGAGTTTTCGGCAAAGAAGTCGACAAATCGTCGATCGAAATGTCGACCAATCGCAGAGTGCGCAGCGTTTGCAGTTCCGACAGATAGAGAAACGCCCCCTTCAGGCCGTCCTCCGGTTGCGCGTTGTCCTCTGCGGTGACGTCATCGTCGGTGTGGAACCATTGTTGACACGAACCGATTTCCAGACTTTCGATTCCATTCAGAGATCGCAGAAACACGAAATCACGTGACGAGAAGTCTGCGCGAGATTCAAATGAGTTCACAATTAGTTGATTAATTACAATGACTGACCCTTGAGTGACGTCATGACCAGCGACTGGAGCGCCATCTCGGAGAACACGTTGGAGAGGAGCTGCACGGAGTCGGCGTCGCCGCTGAAGCCGTTCTTGGAGTTGACGTGTAAGTGCTTCAGCGCTTTCAGGGTCTGGAAGTCGGAGAGGAAGTGCAGAGAGCACTGTTTAGATTCGGACTCCTCTTCGAAGCAGTGGCGCACCGACAGCGTCTCCAAGTGCGCGAACGAGTTGTAGGGGTTGTCGGTGACGGCCGCGTTCACCACCTCCTCCAACACGAACGTCGGGATGGCGCCGAAGCGCAGCGTTCGCACGCTCTTGATGTAGTCGACGATTGTGGAGAAGTTGCGCCAAAAGTCGCACAAATCGCTGCCGCTCTTCACGGCGTCGAAGTCCAGCTCCAGACTCGCGTTCACTTCCACTATGTTTCGCGCCAGAAACAGCCAATCGTTGACCGGAATGCCTTTCAGGCGAACGCAGCGCCACAGGAAGGGCTGCGACGACAGGTGCAACCAATCGCGCGACACGTGACGCAAGCGCACCAAATCGGCGACAGTCAGGTACGAGAGCACGTGGTTGAGACACGCGTACGGCGTCACGAGTGACGTCACTGTGGAGCGCCTTTTATTCATCCAATCGCGATATCCGCGCTTCTTCCTGTCTTTGACCGCCGGCTCGAGAAAGCGGCGCAACTGGCGCTCGAGCTCCTGTGGCGTGTGCTTCATGGGTCCGATCGGAGCGATGGGCGCCGGCTTGTAATGCGGAAGGGATGAGAGTTGCGGCGCGCGCTTCGGGTTGCCGTTCGGGCGCTGCGCCGGCGCTGTGGCCACTTTGGGTTTGATGGACTTGTCTTTGACGATCATGGAGTGGCCGTTGGGTCCGGTGGCCACGCGGTACAGATGGGTGCCGATCGGCAGCTTCACGTTCATGGCGGCGCTCTTGTTGAAGGCTGGAGAGAGAGAAGGGGTTAATTGGGATTCGAGGCAAACGCATGAGTCGTACGCGCGAGAGGAGTGGACGCCGAGAACTGCTGTCTCTTGTGTTTCACGGTTTGCTGAAAGATGTGTTGATTCTGAAGATTCGGCGGTTTGGGCAGAATGGGCGCGAAAGTGGAGCGCGACTTGATTGGGATGTGATTGGGCGCCGAGTTCTGGACGAAGAGTTGTGTTTTTGGGATCAGAAGCGACTCCGAGTTGTCAGAAGAGAAACCGTTGGTTTTGGCGTTCGAACGGTTCGTGTCTTCGGGTTTCAAACAGTTCTAAACACAGAAACAGCGATTAGAGAGAGAGAGAGAGAGACAACAAAGACAACAATAAACAACACTCACGGGACACACGAAGACTCGCGGCTCTTCCAGGAACACGCCTTTGGGAACGCAATCCAAATGATACAAACAGAAACAGCGCGAACACATCAGGTTCGGCAGCATTCCGCGCCGGCCGGGACAGTGCATCGAACAGGGGGCGCCACTCGTCGTCGACGCGCTGTTGTCCACCACTTCCGCTGTCGTCTTCTCTTCCTCCACTTTCGGCTCCTTTTCGTCCACTTTTTCCGCGATTTCCGGCTTTTCTTCCGTCGGTTTCGAATCCGGAATTTCGACATTCGTTTTGGCGTTTATTTCCGGACTTTTTTCTTCGCTTTTTTCGGCAATTATTTCCGGTT